TACTTCAATTAAATTTTACTTAAGTACAAGTAAATGTACCGGTCTAAAAATCTACTCAAGTAAAAGTAAAAAGTAGCTCATTTAAAATTTACTCAGAGTAAAAGTTACTGAGTAACTTTTTTAACAGCGGGGGTGGGGGACTCTCCCGTGTAGGCTTGTAATGGTATGAGATTTTCACAGTATGATAACGTCTCGGTTATCACGGTTTACAGTATTAATAAATTATTAAATAAATAAACTGTATTATTAAATTATGGGTATTATTATCATCAGTTAAAATTACAGTTAAATTAAAGGGTCACTTCAGGATTTAGCATTAAGCTTTGTATCAGTAGAAAACCTGTAGTATTTTCGAATTACCGTGCTTTAATTTTTCAGAAAATGTTTGTTTCGTTTTATGATTTAATCCAAATATATTATCAAAAACGGTTGTAATCAAATGTAAATGTAAAATTGTGTCCTTTTATTTTTTGGGGAACCGCTGCAAAAACAGATTTACTAAATTAAACCATGGACAAAAAATATATTCTTTTAAATAACGTTTAAATAAAATGTATTATTATTGTTGTTATTATTATTATTATTTAGAGAAGTAGGCTACGTTCTATTGTATGCTTATAGTAATATATTTCTGTCCTAATTTCTCCTAGTAAAACCAAACTTTTATTTTGACGGGTTGTAGTGAAGACCAAAAGTGTAAAAAAGTGTTTCAAAGTGTATTTGACAATGGTTTATCTCAAATAAAATTATGAAAATGCTCATTAGGCGTTCTCTCAGAGCAGCTCTGGAAATGTTCATGTATTCATATCCTCAAATTGTTTGTGAGACTCTGAATGTCACGCGTACTTGAGTATGTAGTTAGTAGACTAAGCGGCGCAGCTCAGCAGAACAAATAGGGTTATATTTACATGCAGTATTTTTGTGCTTAGCTTAAATATTCACAGACCATGTCGCGATTGGATTTATTGCACAGTTCTACTTTCCATGTATTCATCCATCCATTATTTTACGTGACATCTGCGTTATGTAAATTTCATTTTCATGACTGGATCCCGGGGTTCCCTCTGCATCACGTAAATCGGGACATACCTTTATCTGCAGGCGGGATGGTGTCCTATATCCTCCTTTTGCAGCCACTTTGCATCCACATTTTTTGCAAATTGGATATCTATCCTCGAGGACAACCACGCTTTTTTTTTCTACAAAGTATTTTCATACTGGCCATAATTCGCTTGGCGCTTCGGTTTCAGCTTCAGCTGTGTCTGCGTCACCTTTTTTGCGCGTTTGTTCTCCCGCCCTTCAATCAATGCAGTAGTTTCCGGAGTGTGTTTTTTTTTCTTTTCTTCTTGTATTATCTTTTTTACTCAGTAACGGATATGATTTCAAATGTAGCGAAGTACAATACTTCAAAGAAAACGTACTTAAGTAAAAACGACTTAAAAAAGTAGAAGTACACAAAAAAACTACCCAATTACGTAACGCGAGTAAATGTAATTCGTTACTTTCCACCTCTGACAATGGTAACATGCTTCATGCCGCAATGCATGCTGGGAGCCATACGTTTTATATTATTGTGGCTCCCAGCATGCATTGCGGCATGAAGCATGTTACCATTGTTGAGATTCATATGCTGATTCTTGATGTCTGTGTCTTGGAAAAAAAAAATCCCCATAATGTATTTTAAAAGTCAAAAATCAGAATGTCCGATCTGCGGCAAGAGTGTATTGTTAGTGAATATAATGTATTAACATCATATAACCACTTTTGGACAGTGATGAGATAAGTGCATTATTCTATTTTTTGTTGTTGAAAACTACATCACCTGATCATCATTGTTTTTAGCTTTCTTTGTAACAAACTACATGTTATGGTAAAACCTGTTACAAAAACCACAAACTCAGAATAAAAGCCAAGAGTCAAATCTGACCAACTAAAGGAAACACTCATCGCCATAATGGTGATCAAACATTTTCAATAAATCATCAACATCTAAACTTCTGTTCATTCTCAATAAGACCTTCTGTAGACTTAACAGAAATAAAGTCAGTCTGGTCAGTAATAAGTGAAGCTGGTAATGCTGTTTGTGGAGTTGTTTAATCCTCCTCTGCTGAGAACTAGAGAGATTTAATGTCTTTTGTCTACATTTGATTTCATCTAAGGCTGTGGCTAGAAGTCAGTTGTAGTTCTTGTGTTTATCTTTTTTTCTGTTCTTGTTGTTTCTCTTTCCTTCAGTGATTCTGCTTGTTGACAGCAGGTGTTCATCATTAATGCCCAATCATCACTTAATTAATCACTTAAGTATCTCATTAACTTTAACTCTGATTCAGAGTTATTTTAACTCTCTGTAGAGAGGGACCAAATGTTCTCTGAGCAGAGTTAATTTAACTATGGGGATTTTGCTGTGTAGTGTACCTATAATGTACTTGCATGTAAGTATAAGGGAACAATTTGTAAAGTTTGGGGAATAAAGGGGTAATAACCAGGAGAATTAAAAAAAATCTGTAAGTATTATAGAACTAGGGGGTACTTATTCTACTATTAACAATCTTATATTTGGGAGCATTTTAGCGGCGAACATACTCTGCGTACCTTTTTGTAATAATTGTGTTGTTTTTTTTATAGCAAAAGTGCAGATGTTTAAGTTTGGGCAAACATGTTTCAAGGCAAGAAAAGCTAAGACTATTGCATTTTTTTAAAAAATACTGGGTAATATATCTGGTTTCATGTGGTTACAGGGTAAGTGGTGCTTGTGTAATAAATAAAGGTTTCTGAGTCAGTGATATAAGATTGTGTGTATGCATTTTTATTTTACTAACCCTGTAACTACATGGAACAAGAGGGTAACAAGCACCACTTTAATTTACGGCCCGCAATATCACACTTACCCTGTAACTACCTGGAACAAGGGGGTAACACGCACCACTACATGAAACAAGAGTATCTTTCCCCAATATTTAAGCAAATGTTGCAATAGTTTTTGTTTTCAGTGCAGTTTTGTTAAAAAGATTACATTATAAATGCATAGATATGTACCCTGTAATTTTTAAAAAGCCTATACAGTATGTACTGGTTCACCATTATTTCAAAAAGGTAGCTACGCAGTGTATGTTCTCGCTAAATTGCTCCCAAATGTAAGATTGTTGTATCATAATAGTAGAATAAGTACCCCTTGGTTCTATAATACTTACAGTATAAATAATTCTCCTTGTTTCTTTATTCACCCCTTTATTCCCCAAACTTAAAATATTGTTCCCTTATACTTATATTGTAAGTACGTTATAGGTACACTATAATTACCAAAAGTTAAGCTGTAAAATCGCTTTAATTACGCAGTACTTTCCGGGCTGTAATCTAAAGCGTTACCACGCCATCTCTGTTGTAAAGCTGAAATTGCAGTTATTTGTGGAGTTATCTTCTGTATGTGGGTTGTGCATCGGCACGGCTCTTCAGCGCGAGTGAATCTAATGTTTTGAGGTGTGTGTGGGTTTTCTGATGTTGGAAACTTTTCTTCGTCGTCAAAGCAGAGACCAGGAGACGTTGGGATATTTTTCAAGCAGAAGTTACTCTTTATTGAGAGGTCGCTGTTGCATCTCTGTAGTATCCAAGTCTAAATCAAGGCAGTATTCATTTTAGTTCATATACCTTTCATGGTGAGGGATTTACATAGAGGTGGAGACACTCTGAAACAAAGCATGTAAATGAAGTACAGGAGTCAGCTCTTTACCGGAAACTCCCCAGCCCTGATCTCATCAGCATAACAGTGTGATTCAAATGCATAGAAACTAATCTAATCAGCCGGACTATTCAACGACTGGGACAGGGGCTCCTAGAGCCGTTAAAGACAAAAGGTGATAGTCTCAGTATTGTAATCTGATTAATTTAACTTACAATAGAGAGATCAGGACAGGCAGGAATCTCTTGCTGGAAACTCTGATATAATCATCATTTATACCTCAAACACTAAATTCAGTCTCCTGAACTTTCTCAGTTTATATACTATTGTATTGGAACCTAAATTAAACATTTAATAAATTTGTAATACAACACTGTCAACGCACCCGTGTGGATCTTCACTGTACATCAGGATTACAGTTACTACGACTTGGAAGTATATCCAAAATAAGCTCTCTCATAACTTGCACAACATAACTGAAATGTACTATAATGACCATAACAAAGCGAGAGAGAAAAAGCACAACAAAAGGAAATCCATAACTGTATGGATGAAGCGAACAAATGTGCTACTGTTATGGCAAGCCGTTTTAGCTTAAATTGTACCCAGCGTTACTCGTCGTAATTGCATTTTTACTAGTAAGAATTGAATTAGAGAGCTCTGCAATTCAATTCTTACTAGTAGCAATTACAATTACAATCCACACACATGATATAACCTACTAGCCAGGACTCCTTCTTTATGTGTACGGACGTGAGGTAATGACACAAAGATTAACAGGAGAAAACTCACTTTTCACACGAAAACCGACACGGCCAATCAGATTATAACACATTATTACAAGCGTACAGTTGTGAATCCGGCTAAGATAAGGAGATAGTTTTGAACACTGTTATGTTCTTGCTCAATAATTTATTTTGAATTATTTTTAACCAAAAAAAGTTACGGATTGCAGCTTTAAGTAGTATATATATATATATATATATATATATATATATATATATATATATATATATATATATATATAAATGTGTTGTTTATTCATCTTTCTTCTGACAGTCTTACTAAAAGGATGGACAGAAGATCTGCTATGAAGGAGGTGAGATGATCTCAATTCTTCAGTGTTTTCCTGCATGCAGAGATGTTTCCTACAGCCGCTATGAGCCGTACAGAAATATTAAGAGTATAAGACACACGCGTCTAGTGTCCAAACACCTGATTCTTCAGCTCTAGATCCAGTAAAACTGATTTCAAGATCCTCTAAACATCACATTCAGTGTTTAAAACATGAACTCACAATGTGTGTGTCCTTCTGTCTCTCCTGTAGATCTCTGATCCCAATGAAGACACATATACAGCTCTTGATCTCAAGTCCACGACCTCTGACCTGTACGACACACTCACAGTAAGTGAGACGTCAGTCAGATACTCCATCACAGATGATCACATGACCGATCTCTCGCTCTCTTTCACACAGACCGTTGATCGCAGACCTCCTGAAGACTCCTGAAGACTCTTGATCCTCAGAGCTTTTCTAAACATGAGAATCCATCAGTAAGTGTCAGAACCTGCAGCTCTTCTCAATATAATCAATACAACTCTCTTCAGTATAGTCTGATTGTGTTATGTATCTTGTGAAAGCTTTTATAATGTTGTTTAATGAACTTCAGTCAGTCTTTCTTCATCTTATTGTTTGTTCAGATCAACAGGAAGTGCAGTGAGAGGCGGAGCACAAATGAACCAATCCTGAGCTCTATGGGCGGAGCCACTGATGATTGACAGGGATCATCAGTAATGAGTCACAAGAGACTTATTTCTGCATAGTTTAAGAAACATGATGTAACGGTGGAATTAAATGAAAGTTAAATGGTGATTTGTCATGTGTAAATATATAATGTTAAAATTAAGTCAGCAGAGCAAAACACATAAAGTGATGTTCAGTTGTGGCAAACAAGCTATGCTTTCTCATTTTACAACATTTTCCTGCTTTTAAATCATAATTGATCATTTTATTCTGATATACTGAACAAAATCATAATTGTGTGCATTCACAATGGAAAATGTATAGGGTTTTTTTTTTTTTGCTCTCAAAGTGCTCAACATAATGAGCTTCTGTTATTCTGTATTTTGTGTTCCTGTAAATCTTCCTTTAAATGTTCAGTTTTATTTGTGATCATCTCATATTTGCTTGTACAAACTTTATGAGCACATCGATACTGAAGTATTTATCGATTCTCACAAGCTACTTATTTGGTATTGATTGCATTAAAATATCAATTTTAAAATTGTATTAATTTCAAAACATGAGTTTCTGCATCACTTTTATTTGTTTTCAAAACTTTTTTATGTTTGCTCCAAAACACTCCTGACATTTAGCTGGACAGTTTATGGATATGATTTTCCTATAAGTGTAATGTAATTTATTTTCTAAAAAATATTTTGAAAAATCACATACCCATTTAAGAAATAACTGGTTTTGACATTGGCATTGTTAAAACTGTAACAACAATTGGTGTCGTATCAAAATAAAAAAGTTTGTTATGTTTTTAGACCATGTGTGTCCTTAATAAAGCTTTGATGATGATGATGAAGATGATACTGATGTTCTTTCTCTCAGTGAGAGGTTCAGACAATATTCATCATTATTCTCTAGCAGAGGTGGGTAATCCAGGGGCCAAAGAGTAAAAGTCCTGCCATAAGTTTATTCCAACCATGACCTCAGTCAGCTGATTTCACTAATTAGTTCTGTCTTCTGTCTGAATCAGCAAATCCAGGTGATTGGAACAAAATACTGAGGAGGACTTTTACTTTTGAACCTGGACTTTACACCTCTGGCCACATGTCAGCCAAGAGTAAAGAAATAAACCAGAACTGGATCTTATCGTAGCCAAAATAATCTGTGTATATTAAATTAGAGTAATTGCAACCTTAATAAAGCCTGTTAACAAGCAGAATCACTGAAGGAAAGAAGAGAACAGAAAAAGAGACGAGCAGAAACACAAGAACTACAACTGACTTCAGACACAGCCTTACATGAAATCCACTGAAGAGAAAAGAAGACATTACATCTGAAGATCTCAGCAGAGGAGGAATAAACAACTCCACAAACAGCATTACCAGCTTCACTTATTACTAACCAGACTGACTTTATTTCTGTCAGAGGTCTGCAGAAGTTTTATTGAGAATTAACAGAGGTTTAACTCTGTTTCATTTAAAGTCATCATAACAGTGATTAGTGTTTCCATTAGTTGGGCTCTTAACTCTTATTTCATCTAATGTCTATTTTGGCAGCTATGGCAGTGTGTGTGTTAAACACATTTGCAGCAGCAAAGAAAGCTAAAGTGAAATGAGATCAGGAGATGATGGTTTTATAATCATCATGAAATAGACCCAATCACTGAGGTAGGGCTGGGCGATATATCGCACGATATTGTTATGCGCATCTCGTCAGCAAAGCCGGTTCCTTGATTAGTAGTAAATCGCCTTCACCTGCTTTCAGATGGAAGATATGATGCAGATATGTGTTAAAGTTAATGAGATAATTAAGTGATTCATTTAGTGATTGAGCATTATTGAAGACACCTGATGTTATCAAGCAGAATCACTGAAGGAGAAAATCACAAATTGTAAGCCACCGTTATGGCGATCAGTGTTTGCTTTAGTTGGACTCTTGACCCTTATTCTTTCACTTTAATTTTGATTTGTCTGCTGTTATTGATTTATAACAGTCAAATGAACAAAGAAACGTGTGATCTGATAGTGTTGGTTATGTTTTGGCATAATCATGCTGTAATCTGAAAAATTAAACTTATTGAGATAGTTCGGTTTAACTCGTTAGCAACAGCTTTGTGATTCTACAGCATATGATTATCAGTATTTTTCTTATAATACAAAATATTTCATAAACATTGTTCTGATCAAAACCCTTGTAAATGAATTTAGAAACACAGACATCAATAATCAGCCTGTGAATCTCAACAATGGTTACAATAAAAATGCATGTTGCAGTGGCTGCCACCAATCACAACTCATTAATGGCTCCCATCATGCATTGCGGTATGAATAAATTATGATCTGAATTGTCTATGTAATTTACTTTTCCTAATTGAATATTCTGCTCATCACCATTGTTGAGATGCATTGACTGAATCTTGAAGTCTGTGAGTGCCTAAAAGAAAGTTTTTTTTTTAAAACAACTTTTAAGAAATCCTTTATATTATATCTAAAATTCTGGATATTTATCCAGAATCACAGTTATGCTGTACATAACTGTACAACTGTACAATAAGCTGTACAACCAACAGCATAAATCACAAAAATAATGATCAAATAGTGATTGTCATAATATAACCAACATCATTAGATCACTTTATTTCTTTGTTCATCTGGCAGTTATAACTCAGATACAACAGCCAAACAAACTCTAAAGTTATTATTCTAAGGGTCAAGAGCCCAACTAAAGCAAACAATGATCGCCATAACGGTGGCTTACAATTTTAGATTTTCTCCTTTAGATGCTCAATCATCACTCAATTAATAACTTAATTATCTCATTAACTTTAACACTCTTGAGTGTGGACTCATATACACTCCCAGGAGTGTTAATTTAACATTGGAGTTTTTGCTGTGTACAAAGAGCCGTAGTTAACTGACAAGCTGAGCCATATCGCATTAAATGTCGCTGGCGATACGTCCGCGATATTAATGCGATATGGCTCAGCTTGTCAGTTAACTACGGCTCTTTGTAGTAAATGCCGCTCCATCTGAAAGCAGGTGAAGGCGATTTACTACTAATCAAGGAACCGGCTTTACTGACGAGATGCGCATAACAATATCGTGCGATATATCGCCCAGCCCTATGTGTATGTCAATGTAGGCCAGTTTTTTTTTTATGTTTGTTAAAAGACTTATTTGACGAAGATGAAAAGATTCTCATGCTGCAGATGTGAATATATTAATGGAACAATATAACTGTTGGATTATCAAAACCTCAATGAATCAGTCTATTTCATGATGAGTATAAATCCATCAACAGAAAAACATCATCACCTGATCTCATTTCACTTTAGCTTTCTTTGCTGCTGCAAATGTGTTTGACACACACACTATCACAGGAGCCAAAAAAGACAAAATATATATTAAGAGTTGAGAGCCCAACTAAGGTAAACACTAATCACTGTTATGGTGACTTAAAATTAAACAGTTAAACCTCTGTTAATTCTCAATAAAACTTCTGTAGACGTCTGACAGAAATAAAGTGAGTCTGGTTAGTAATAAGTGAAGCTGGTAATGCTGTTTGTGGAGTTGTTTAATCCTCCTCTGCTGAGATCTTCAGATTTAATGTCTTCTTTTATCTTCAGTGGATTTCATCTAAGACTCTTTGCTCTTGGCTGACATGTGGCCAGAGGTATAAAGTCCAGGTTCAGAAAGTAAAAGTCCTCCTCAGTATTTTGTTCCAATCACCTGGATTTGCTAATTCAGACAGGAGACAGAACTAATTAGTGAAATCAGCTGACTGAGTTCATGGGTGGAATAAATTTATGGCAGGACTTTTACTCTTTGGCCCCTGGATTACCCACCTCTGTTCTCTAGTGATTAAAGATGAAAAGTAAAGTAAATGCTTTACCTAAGAAGTGATCATGCAGGCGACAGATTGAAGTGACCTCGGATGACTTCAGCTAGAAGAATAAATATATGTTTTAACCAACGCATTCTCATCCTTTGGCGTCATATAGGTGACGCCATATGACATTTCGTCGAAATCTTACGCACATGGCATCCTTTAGCGTCACTATAACACGCACTGTTATGGGTAGGTTTAGGTCTGGGGTAGGGTACGGTTATGACGCCTTGGGTTCTGCGTCTCATATTGACGCTAAAGGACGCCATGTGCGTAAGATTTCGACGAAATGTCCAAAGCGTCACATGTATGACGCCTAAGGATGAGAACGGGTATGACTTCTGACTTCCTCGTATGACTTCTGCTAGAAGATTAAATATATGTTTTAACACATGTTGGGTGCCTCTCTCTAAAACATTCCAGTAAACAGACCTGTAATTATATAACTAAGTAAACCCATAAGCCTGAAGAAATCATTCAAATCATTTAATATGTAGATGGATAAATATTGATTAATACCCTTGATAATCGCTCATTAGTAGCGCTGGGTTTTTAAAAATGTGGTCAATTTAATATCGATTCTCAAAAGACATAAATCGATTTCCTGTATTTATTTCCGCAAACATTGAACATAATATCTGATTGATGTTAATCTTATTACTAGTATTCTCCATTATTCTCTTATTGTTTGTTCAGATCAACAGGAAGAAGCTGCAGAAAGAGGCGGAGCACAAATGAACCAATCCTGAGCTCTTTATTTCTGTATAATTGAAAAAAACATGATGTGACAGTGGAATTAAATTAAAGTTAAATGCTGGTGAATTATCGCTGTGTAAAAAAATATAAATATAAATGCTAAAATTAAATCAGAGGAGTAAAACACCTAAAGTGATGTTCAATGGTGGATACAAGTGCATTTCTCTGCTTTTAAATAATAATTGATAATTTTACCCTTATATACTGAAAAAAATCACAATGGACACTATCATTTTATGGTCAATATCATCAGCTTCTGTGTTTTGTGTTCCTGTAACTTTCCCTTTAAGTGATCAGTTTTATTAGCGACGCGCTCATACAATACTAGCCCACCGCAGAGCCACACGCCACAGCAGCGCCAGACCAGCAGTCTCAGACCGGCCGTGAGCCTGGAGATTACAGCAGCGTTAAGGTCAGGTTTAGTGGTGGGGTTGGGTATTCGTCATGCTGGAGCTTATAGTTATTGTGAAGTTAGGGTTAGTGGTTTTGCCAAGCCTGCAACCTTAGCCGAAAAAAGTGTAACGCTAGCTAACGCTGTGCTACGCTGGGAAGGAGACCAGAGGCCATTTTCTTGATGGATGTCAATGGAGGAGAGGCTTCATAACACTGAATAAACTGCTTTTGTGAGTAAATAGCTTATCATTTAATGAATCGACACGCCATCGGCTAATCTTCAACATATTTGCTCTTAAACACCAATTTAGAGTAATACCTGTATGATATTACGCTGTAGCTGCATTGGACCAGCGGTTTGGAAAATGGATGGCAAGACGCGGGAATTAATTCGACACGACTCTCACCAGTGGCGTAACGAGCCAACACCGGCCCTTATGCAGGATTATCAAGGCGTTACACTACAGCACCTGATGACGTAATGTCCACGAGTAGGCTAGCATACATAGGACAGGATAGGATCATAGAGACACAGTATATAAGAGAAGAGATGACTGACAAAATCAGGATCAGCCTACGCGCACCACAAAAAAGACACTGGTGAATGCGCACCATAACACATTGTTACTCACTGCTATGACTACACACACATAGACCTAGGTCCAAATACATAAAAAAAGATGCATTTTCCTCTGTGAGAATATGCATGTTCACTTGCCGACCCAGGGATTCCCCAGTCCCAATTCGAAACAAATTACACCAAAATCCATCATTGTTCGTTTCACACATGTATTCAATGATCAGTAAAATATGCTGTTGTCATTATTTATTCAAATAAATTTGTGATAAAGTAAAATGCGATCAGACTAAAAGTAGTAAAATGCGTTAGGGGGCCAATCAATATCTTCCAGTCACGCGGGCCCCTGATTGGTCCCGGCCCGTAAGCAACCGCGTACCCTGCTTACCGATAGTTATGCCTGTGACTCTCACAGTGCATTATGGGTATTCTCTAGCCGGTGCATTGTGGGATTGAATGAGTGCACTCGATAACGTCCACTGTAGTTTCAGACACCACTACAAATGGCTGTTCCCTCAAATAGTGCCCTATGAAGGGTATAGGGGGCGATTTCAGACACAGCCTCAATGACGTCAAAGGCTGTAATGTGATTGGTTATCAAGGCACATGTGATCCAAGTTAGCTTTACACTTTTTCCAGTGGTAGAGCCACAGATCCTGGTATCTCCCAGTAATAAGACCATTTCTGGTATAAAGCAGGCTTTAGGTGATCGTCAGCTCTGTTCGGTCTGAAGCTGCTGGCCTGAAACTGCTGACACGTTTATACAGGTCCTTCTCAAAAAAATTAGCATATTGTGATATTCATTATTTTCCATAATGTAATGATAAAAATTAAACTTTCATATATTTTAGATTCATTGCACACCAACTGAAATATTTCAGGTCTTTTATTGTTTTAATACTGATGATTTTGGCATACAGCTCATGGAAACCCCAAATTCCTGTCTCAAAAAATTAGCATATCATGAAAAGGGTCTCTAAACGAGCTATTAACCTAATCATCTGAATCAACTAATTAACTCTAAACACCTGCAAAAGATTCCTGAGGCTTTTAAAAACTCCCACCCTGTTTCATTACTCAAAACCGCAATCATGGGTAAGACTGCCGACCTGACTGCTGTCCAGAAGGCCATCATTGACACCCTCAAGCAAGAGGGTAAGACACAGAAAGAAATTTCTGAACAAATAGGCTGTTCCCAGAGTGCTGTATCAAGGCACCTCAGTGGGAAGTCTGTGGGAAGAAAAAAGTGTGGCAAAAAACGCTGCACAACGAGAAGAGGTGACCGGACCCTGAGGAAGATTGTGGAGAAGGACCGATTCCAGACCCTGGGGGACCTGCGGAAGCAGTGGACTGAGTCTGGAGTAGAAACATCCAGAGCCACAGTGCACAGGTGTGTGCAGGAAATGGGCTACAGGTGCCGCATTCCCCAGGTCAAGCCACTTTTGAACCAGAAACAGCGGCAGAAGCGCCTGACCTGGGCTACAGAGAAGCAGCACTGGACTGTTGCTCAGTTTTGCATGTCATTCGGAATTCAAGGTGCCAGAGTCTGGAGGAAGACTGGGGAGAAGGAAATGCCAAAATGCCTGAAGTCCAGTGTCAAGTACCCACAGTCAGTGATGGTCTGGGGTGCCATGTCAGCTGCTGGTGTTGGTCCACTGTGTTTTATCAAGGGCAGGGTCAATGCAGCTAGCTATCAGGAGATTTTGGAGCACTTCATGCTTCCATCCGCTGAAAAGCTTTATGGAGATGAAGATTTCATTTTTCAGCACAACCTGGCACCTGCTCACAGTGCCAAAACCACTGGTAAATGGTTTACTGACCATGGTTTTACTGTGCTCAATTGGCCTGCCAACTCTCCTGACCTGAACCCCATAGAGAATCTGTGGGATATTGTGAAGAGAAAGTTGAGAGACGCAAGACCCAACACTCTGGATGAGCTTAAGGCCGCTATCGAAGCATCCTGGGCCTCCATAACACCTCAGCAGTGCCACAGGCTGATTGCCTCCATGCCACGCCGCATTGAAACAGTCATTTCTGCAAAAGGATTCCCGACCAAGTATTGAGTGCATAACTGAACATAATTATTTGAAGGTTGACTTTTTTTTTTTGTATTAAAAACACTTCTTTTATTGGTCGGATGAAATATGCTAATTTTTTGAGACAGGATTTTTGGGTTTTCACGAGCTGTATGCCAAAATCATCAGTATTAAAACAATAAAAGACCTGAAATATTTCAGTTGCTGTGCAATGAATCTAAAATATATGAAAGTTTAATTTTTATCATTACATTATGGAAAATAATGAACTTTATCACAATATGCTAATTTTTTGAGAAGGACCTGTAGTTCTGCAGTCTGACACATCTCGTCTCATAAGTGCTCGTTCAATCCCTCAAACTGCCACCAGAGGTCACCATCTCCTGCCACTGACATCCACCTTGATGATCCTCACCTGGAAATCACTGTCATTCATTTTTACAATTATTCACCTTTAACTTAACCCTTTCATGCATGAATTATGATAACCTCAGTCAGGATTTTTTTCCTATGTGTTTTTATTGCTCTTAGGGCATGAAAAACAAGATTTGATTTTTTTTTATTTTTTTTTTTACAAATTTTCCAAAGAGATTTTCAGGTGTCCACTTGAGTGGACAGCATGCATTTATGGTTTAAACTGAAGAGATACTATATTAAACATAATACAATAATCAAACAGATAAAGTATGTGTATTTAACAAACTTATCAATACAATTATATCAAATCATGTGAAAACTATAAAATATATACAAAAAATATAAATTCGAAATATTGCAAATGCAATTGAACTTCATACAAGTTGCACTTCGTGTATCTTTGATATGAGAACATGAGGACGTGATTCCATCAGAAATTTCTACAGCCCGTCAAGGTACAACAGTGGAAACCACTCAGATGCTCCCTCCAGTGTACCAGAGTATGTAAATTTACCTTTATTAGCTGATAATTCTGATTATATTCAAGATAGACACATTTCTAGCATAGGCCTCTTCTGAGAAAACCTAGCGATACGTATTTTTCAATCTCATCTGAAATTAGCAGTGTTGGGGCATGCATAACGCATTCAGATTACTTTTTTGATGTTACAAGTAAAGTAATGTGTCACAAGTAACGCGCATTACATAATCAGATTTGTTTTAATGTTACGAGTAAAGTAATGTATTACAAGTAACATGTATTACCTAATCAGACTACTTTTTGATCTAACAAGTAAAGTAATTAATTACAAGTAATATACATTACGTAATCAGATTACTTTTTGGTGTTACGAGTAAAGAAAAGCATTACAATATAGTACATTACGAAATCAGATTACTTATTGATCTAACAAGTAAAGTAATGCATTACAAGCAACATTCATTACGTAAACAGATAACTTTTTGATCTAACAAGTAATGCATTACGTAATTAGATTACTTTTTTGATGAAATGAGTAAAGTAATACATAAGTCACATAAATTATGTAATCACATAACTTTTTTCGATGTCAATGAAATTAACATTCTAATAATACAAATACATTTATTTACAGTAAAAAAACGTCACTGCAGATTAAGTATTTTCAAAAACAATATTCACAGTATAAGTATGAATTGTTGCTGAAATATAGCCATTGATGCATGAGGTCCACTATAGTGGACAGGTGATTAATCAGATTTTTCTCCCAATCTAAAATCAAAACTTGGAAAACTTTACTGTCATATGACTCATTAGATATTGCTTGATGCTGCAATATTTTTTTTGCCTACAAGAGTCTCCTAGGATAGAAGGAATGGGTGGATATTCCGGAGCAACTTGGCATGTCTGACTGACCATTGGCCATCTTGGCTTGGAGGGGGAAAAAGTCAAAACACAACGGCTTGCAACTTGGTTCCAATGTATAGGATGATGCACCAGGGTCCACTGAAGAGATTGATGTGCAACTTTGCCATCAAAACCCTTGCAAATTCAAGAAAATGCTTTTTTAATAGCGGTCCACTGTAGTGACCACT